GGGAAATATCAGTACATATTAATTACTAATTTGCATAATTAATTAATTTTCAGCTTTTGGTATTTCAAGTAGTAATGATCACGTTTCAATGAAACTGCGACATAGATCTTCTAGGACTATGCAGAGAGACCTGATTAATTTTGGGATAAATAATTGTGCATATTAATTACCTGATTTGTGTAATTAGTTAATTTTTTGCTGTTGCACTGATGTCTAAAAAAACACTCACTGGATTTTAATGAAACTTTTAAAGAGGACCCATAACATTTCAATGAACCTAGGACTATACACCATATTATTTTTTGGTAAATATTTATGCTTCTTAATCACCCAATTAACATAATTAATTAATACTGATATCTCAAGTATTGATCATCACATTTGAATAAAACTAGGTACATAAATGCCCTAGGACAATAGACAGCCTGATTAATTTTGGGTTAAAATATTAATTCTCTAATTAGCATAATAATTAATAATTTTTTGGGTTCTAATCACATTTCAATGAAACTTGATACATTGTGCAGACCTTATTAGTTTTACACTTAAATCTGTTCATATTAGTTTTGATATTTGCATAATTAGTTTTCTGCGTTTCCTTCAATATCTCAAGTTAAAGTAATTTTGAATTAATTTTTAATGTGTCTCCAATACTCTCAGCAGACGGGAGTTCTTTCTAAGCTTTCTTTGATTGTTTCTGACATGAACATGGCTACATTGGTGCCAAGTTGAGCTAAGTTTGCTATGCTTGTCTCAAGATCGTAGGGCATTTGGTACGAACTAGATCAAGCAAACCTTTATAGGAGACGTACAACTAAGAATGTTTTTATTATCAATACGAGATCTATTCTCTTGTATTTCAACCAAATGTCTGAATTGTTGGCATGATATTTGATTTGGGTAACTTAGCTGTTGCATGTTTTTTGTGTGCCTGTTTGTGACAGTAATACAAACAACACTATCAACTTTTTGTTGACATTTCAAACATCGGTTTATTATTGTAGCTTTCGGATCACCAAGAAGAGTTTCACTAGTGTTGTATGCCATCCAACCGATTACTGCATTGCAACAGGAGATGGAACTGGGCAACTTCTTCTATGGAGGAATTTTACTGAACCGGAGAAAAAAGTTTCACAACATAAAAATCACTGGCATTCAAGAAGTTTACAGGACATTTGTTTTTCAGCAGAAGGTGAGTTTACACACTTCATCTGGCTGGGACCACCCACCTTAAGTTATGGACCAGAAACTGATGTAACTTCTTGTCAGGCGATGCGTAGGTTGGAATTCCACCATGCACAGTATTAAAAATGCTTTCCTTATAGGATTCCTTAAGTTTTCTTCTTTTGAGGCTGTCCCACTTGCAGCAGTTTCTAAACAATGAGAATATCTTAAGAAAATCCACTAACCTTACTATCATCATTGTTTAAGTGAATAAGATTTTTTTTTTCTGCATGAAACATCAATTGAGTGTGTATTTCACTTGTAAACATCAGCTTGGACCAGGCCCACTCTATTCCTAATCAAAACAAAATTACATAACATTTTCACTAGAATCAAATGAATCAGTCTTGGCATATAGCTTTGCAAAAAGTATGTTTATTCTTGAAATGTGGCATACATGACTGATTATCCTCGTACCTTTCAGGTTCCTATATCTACACTGTTGGTCTGGAGTGTACAGTAGTGCAGTGGCAATATGAAACCAATCACAAGTCATTTCTACCGAGGCTCGGCTCACCTATATGTTATGTTAGCTGTTCTGAGGACAATTCCTACATTGCAACGAGTCATCTCGATAATGGTAAATAGCTCACCAATGAAGAGTTTTCTTGTTAAGGACAATTTGTTGGTGTAGAGAGTAATTAAAAATGATTAAATATTGTCAGAATAATAATGGAATTAAATTTGTTGAATAACCGCAGAAGATGTATACATAGTATACTGTGTGCTTACATGTGACAGAGATGTGTGTACGTTCAAAATTAGTCACATTCTAATACTGATATATGTAGTAAGTTTACGTAGCCAGTGATTTAGATACATGTAATTATCACCAACTGATAATCACCCATTACAGAATAGCCTTGTTAAAAGATCATTAATTGTGTTGTAATCATTACTGACATCAAAATTATCACTACACATATACCACATTCAAAGTGATGCATGTGTAGTGGTAGCCTGACAAGTTGCTGTAGGTGGCGCCCTGGACTGCTGCTGTGGGTGGGGATCGCCAACTTGTCAGGCCAGTGTAGTGGGTTCAGTTTATCAGTAAATCTCTCAAAAAACATTGTTTGTTATTGATGGATGGTACATACATTTATTGTATCAAAGCATTATCAATGGCATTGTAAAGTGTTAGCACACACTAAGTCACTGCCCACAAAAGGCCAGTAAACTAGTAATTGTACTGGCATTCTGATTGGTCAATCATGCTCTCATTCTTTGTTAGTCCCCGTTCGGACGCAGTCCGAAAACAGGGACTTATGTTTTGACCCTTGTGTTTCTGTGCGTGCGTCCGGACCTGTTCTTAGAAATGCCTGGACCAATCATAATCAAACTTCACACATACATCATACATGATACATATGCACATCGATTTGTTTCACGATCTGATTCAAGACGGCCAAATAGCGGCCATTTTTATACTGAAAATCATCAAAATAAGTATTTCTCCTGATGCACATCATTTTATTTTTCAGATTGGATTCAAAATGGCTGACTGGCGGACATTTTGTTTTAATAAATAGGCTTCTAGAGCCATATCTCTGACATGCTTTGACTGATTATTTTCAAATTTTATATATTCATTATACATTATGTTTATAGATATATGCATGTAATCAAAATGGCTGCTTTTGTTTTAATTAATGCTGAACCAGAGCCATATCTCTCAATGTGGACAAGTACTCGTTTGACGATCAGATACAAAAGTCAATCATTTTAATGTTAAACAATCATCATAATCATATTCCTGACATGGTTATATTCCAGCTATATTACTATAAACAAAACTATATATCTAAAATTCAATAACTTAACGAGGACTGTGCCATGCATGGCTTGTTCTTTTTCCTTTGTTACCTTACATCAGCGCTTCATGCTCGTGGCACGAAATGTTTTCAAATTATATCACTAAATCGCATAAATCCAGGGCTACAACCAAACAATGACTTCATTTCACCTACTGGCATTACAGAATTTATTCATCTCTAGTGGGGACCTAACTTGATGTATTCTATCTAACCATTTATTACATGATACATATTTCTATTTTCTTCCAGCAATCCAAGTATTATCAAATGGTAAAATAATTCAGACATTTCAAGGACTAACAAGGGAGTACCTACCTCAGCATGGTAATGACGTAATCCCTACCGGTGTGGTATTAGATCCACGATCTCACTGTGTTGTATTAAATGGTAAACCAGGACATTTGCAGTTTTATGATATGCACACTGATAAACTCCTCTATAATGTAAGTTGTAACGGTAATTTCTACAAAAGAGCTAGTCCATCTCGAATAATATTTTTAAAAAATGTGATCATCTCTTGTGACAAAAGGGGAAATTATGTCACATGATCCTAAATCAACTAAACTTATAGAAAAAAATAATATAAATTAGAAAAAAAGGTTGCATTAAAATGTTGGCATAAAATAATTGAGGGGTTTGAAAGCTAATTATTTGTAGAAAAGTTGTAGAGATAATATTTAACTAAACTTAGCACATGTATAATGTTTTAACATTTTGTTCTCAGCTGGATATTGTACGTCAAAACTACATAACAGCAGATGCCCTCCATAACACTTTGGTACAGACAGATGTGGAAAAAGCTGCATTTGATTGCCATGGAAACTGGTTGGCGACAGTTGAGAGGAGAGATGATGGCGTGACTGCCATGGAAATGAGACTGAAATTTTGGCAATGGAGTGATAAGAAACAGAGGTTAGTTATATTTAATCAAATAATTATTCAGTGGTGATAACATCATGGTATGGAATCTACTCGTGAAACTATCAGGCCTTGCCTTTTACCTGAGAGCTATAAATTGCTCTCCAGAACACAGTTATCCGATTAATTAAATCGTTGAGTGATAATTATTTAGCTCTTCTTGGTCTTGATTGCTTGAGTGATAGACTAGTTGAGTGATCACTCGCCTAAGTAAGTAAAAACTGAACACTGCATAATGGATCAATGTTTCTTGTACTTCGCAATAGCTATAATCAGGTTAGAGATACTGAATTGTTCGAGTTACCAAAAACATAGAGTTACGAAAATGACCATGCCCTTATTTCAGATACCTCACTTCTGTGAAATCATGTCCACATTGTAACTTGATGTTTATTTAACAGTTAACAGAACTTCTCGTTACAGGCAACCTATACATTTTTTCAATGTCCACATTTAAGTAACTCAAACTTGAATTAACAATTAACCAAACTTTGAGTTACGGGCAACATAGAATTTTTGTTCTGTTTTGTTAAACGTTGTATATTTCCCGCAATCTGAAGTTCAATTAACTGATAATTAAAATTGAAGTTACTAAATTGGAATGTGCGTTTCTTTTTCTTTTCTTTCAGTTTTGTTTTAAACACAAGTATAGAATCACCCCATCAAGATAAAGTTACAGCCATGTGCTTCAGACCGGCGAACAATAAAATCAATCCATCAGGAACACCAATGGCTGTCACATCAAGTAAAGACAACAAGTTCAAGATTTGGATTCTAATCGATGATACCGATATCTACCGTAAGTACCATAAAGTGAAAAATAGAAGCAGTATGCTTCTGCTGACGTTAGTTCAAAAATACCAGGATATCAGGAGTTTGTTGACAAATATTTTAACTATGGTATATCAACATGGTACTATATCTTGTCACCGGGACATAAAATTGTAGGCAGCTCGTACAATACCCAACTCCCATACAGACAATTCGGGGCTTTAAATTTAAAGACTAAAATCATGGTAGCCAAGCTCAGTACCATTTTAAAGACCTGATACTGTAAAATGACTAATTTTCACTGGGTTTAAATTTCGCCGATTTACCATTTCAGGCATAATCAGTGGGTTTTAAATTCACGGTTTCGTCATTTAGATAATGTGTTCTATGTTAAATTTTACATATTCACTGTGTTTTAATTTAGCGCATTTTTCCAGTCAGCGAAAAAAGCTAAATTAAAACCCAGTGAATAATTACCCCCTTTACAGTAGTTTCATGGTATTATCAGGTAGTCCATCAGGGTTTAGTTGATTCTTGCAGCCAGTATTAATGTCATGAAAAATATTGTGTATCCATTTGGGGGAAAAAAATATAAATTTTGTGTAAATTATCAATAGTCTAGCTGTGCTCCTAATTTTACATATAGCCCTATAGACAAAAATTGGTAGTCTATGTACCTATGGCTGCTGGTAACTTCAAATCTTGAAATTTGTATTGCAAATATTTTGATGTTTTCTTTATTTCATCAAAAAAATCAACTAAATGTTCAGAATTTGATATTTCTTACAGATTTGTTGATAAAATGTTTCAAATTCTGATTAATCACTCATGGACAAAATGGAGAGTGGCTTTATAAACTACCGTAGTTTCTACTAAACTCTTGTCATTCACTATATTCAAATAACTAAAAATTGTAAACATTATTGGATGCATCCTTTTCAGGTAAAAATGTTTGTTGGACTTGTCAATCTGTTGGTTTTTATCACGACTTACCAACTGGTAGTATTGCGTTCTCAACCGACGGTTCTCTGCTAGCAGTCGTGTGTAGTAATATTATTACACTGTGGGATCCTGACACGAACGGTCTAAAGACGAGGCTATGTCAACCTGTAATGACAAAAAGAAGATACGCTTGTCAGTAAGTATTATGGGTGAAATATTATAAATGGATTTTAGCTCAAAAATTGTGATACTGTGTTTATGCAATCTGTATTAACATGTTCTAATCCATGTATTTCTTTGTATCCCAGTCAAGTCTTATTTGGGAATGGATCCTCGTCGCATTGTCTTGTAGCTGTGTATGATGATAACATAACAGTCTGGAATCTTCTCACCTGTTCAGGTATGTCTATTTCCCAAAAAAGTGTTGAATAAATCACTGTACAATCAATGCTGACGAACCAGTTTGGACAACTGAAATTTATTCCCGTTTATATGCGTTTTTTGTAATCGCCAAAATTAAGAAGATGTCTCTTTATACTTTTATCTATATTTCTTCTATTAGTTTCCTGGTCTCTTTACCTGGATGTGAGTTGTCTAGTGAAGGACCCGTCTACTGATTACTTTGCTGCCTTTACCAACCAATCAGACGGTAAGTAATCTGTTACACTGTGTGAGGTATATAAGTTATGTTATGGTAAATTTGTTTCGGTCTGCCGACGTGAGTAATGCTGATGCAGTATGGTAAGAGTGAAACGTAACATCAAAATTGTGATAAGTTTAAATTATTGATGACATTGACACTCGCTTTATAAAATACAAGTTTTTATGAAACGGCCAATCCAGCTTGGAAGTTAAGTTATGCCATGGTTGTACTATGTCTTCTATTCTGACATTACAATCATTAAAGGCAGTGGTCATCGTCTAACGCATCTTAAAATTTTGTATAAACAAACAACGTATTTTACATGTGTTGTGTATGTCGATATGAATCGCATATTGAACAGCATGTGGCACGACAATCACTGCCCTTTAAAACTATTAGTGCAACCTGTGTGCATACTTTCATGATGACTTTATTATTATAAAATTTCGGCAACAATTATTTTACAAGATTCATGTCGCCAGGTCTGCACAATCATATTCATTCAGAAAAATTATTCTATTCCGTGCGTGCCTCGATGTTGTGGTATGATGTAAACAAATTAAAATGGTGCAATCTACACCACATTTAATATTAAATGTGATACACGTTTTTATGGGCAGATTGTATTGTTTTTAATGTAATACAAGTCAACTCATTCTCACTAACATAGAAGTCAAATGCAGACATGGTCTGATTGGTCAGAGTGTTGTCAACTTTGATTTCAAATCTGGAAACTTTTATGAAGTTTTTTGTGGCTTCCATGGAAGAAGAAAATTTGCTTAATTCATACAAGTGCCTTGTACTTTTATTTTCAGTATATATATTCAAAGCATCGGAACAGAATGCTAAACACATTTACAATCAAGTGAGCAAGTCTGCTGTAGTGGCGGCTATATTCGTACCTCATAAACAGACTCAAGATGCTACAGATGCATTACCATGGCAACAAAAATCCCAACTATATTTCATCAATGAAGACCAGCAACTGAAGTCTTTGCGGAGCATACAGGAGTTAGACAAGAGGCAAAAAATGCATGCACCTAGAAAGGTAAAAAGCAACATTTCTACATCTTGGGATAAATTTTTTTTTTTTAGCTCCACTTTCATGACAGGTGGAGCTGTTAGTATAGGTGATTGTCATTGTTGTCGTCCAGTGTCCTGTATCAACTTTAATTTTTCAAGTGACTTTAACTCCATTGCTTATATGTTGGTTGGACCTCTATGAGATTAGAGCATTTTGTGACGATATGTTCAATTCTCCATTTTTAATGAATATTTTTGTGATTTTGGGTTAAAAATTGTTATATTCAACTAGTCCTTGAAAATTGTTACTCAGATTGTTTTCATTACTCAGTATATAATGTATATTTAAAATTCTAGGAATTTTAATTTTTGGTGTGAATGGGAATGCTTTTTTTGATGACTTCTTGAAAACTACTACTCAAATTGCTTTCAATGTAATACTTGTAGTACTATGGGTGCACTCTTATTGGACTTGATATTTCATGGCAATATCTTCAATTCTGTAATTTCAGCGAGTATTTTTGTCATTTTTGGTCAACAATTTTATTGTTGAATTCTTCTTGAAAACCCACTACTTGGTAAATGTGTACTCTGGGTGAACCTTTATTATATTCAAATATTTTGAGATGACTGTTATGTAACTTGTTATAAGGTATATAAAATTATGGATGTAGTTTACAGTACCAGTTAATTTTTAAATTCCTCAAAAAAATTTTGAAAATGAATTGCAATTAGAATTTTTGCTAAAACGTCAGTGCAAATTAATTTAATTTTATAATGTCTATTTTCAGAGTGCAATACAGGAGAATCTTCCATCAACTCCGTTCTCCAAGTTTTTGGAGACTTATCAGACTGGTGGGAAAAGGAACCCTAGTGATATTAGTCTACATGGTAATCCTGGATCAGTTGCTGCAAGAGAGGTAACAATTATGTGATTTCCTGTTTTTAATATATATAGATCGAGAAAAATCTTGTTTTCAGATGTTTTTAAATATGAGTTGACTAGAGAAAGTGGTATTGTTCCGGCTGGCACTTTCAAACTGTCCAGTTATAATCCATACCGTTTTGTTTCTCACAATCTAAATAAACTGCTCACTTATGATTTATTTGATACTTTTTATAGCGTGTTTGGTATTACAGTAATAAGAACAGTATAGATGCAACAGTTACCACTGTATTCAATATTTTGTGACACATTCTGAAATTCATACTAGTTCTTTGAAGTGCTGAAAATATTAGGCCAAGATACAGAGGACAGCAACAACTCAGTGGGCAGACACAATATATTTTAGCTACAAATTGATGTTGAAATTAATCATGACAAAGATATCACTTTTAGAAAAATAATGTTACGCCTGGTTCGAACTTGCATGGTCACAATGATAACCAGATAACCAGCCTCTGCATCCCATGTATGCATTGATCTTCCATTGAAAAGTACCCTATATCGTGTGCTTGTTCATTTCAGATAATGAATACACCAGCACATGTGCTGCCACCAGTCAGTTCACTTTGTAATTCATTCATGAAGATTCTGCTTATTCCAAACTCAGCCACCAGCAGGTAAATACAAACTCATTTATTATTGTTGTGATAGGCTATTGTAGAGTTCTTTAATGAAATATCAATCACTCTCATTTACATGAGCAATTGGCGGAGACTTGGCTACATGTCAAATTTTTATGTCTAATCCCCAACGTTTTTTATAGAATCATTTATTTTGATGGGAGAATGTTAGTAAAAAAATTTGATAACCGTTATGATTTCTGAATGGATATTAGACAGTAAAAAATTAATATGAAAATGACATGATTTTATGAATGAGTCTTCAACTGCTTGTCACATCCATCACTAGCTCATTTGTCTACTTTCAAGTTTGGTCAATAAATGAATGCGAGTTGGAAATTCCCATCCAGGGCATAGTGCAGTTCCAGATCACGTCATTTTATGCATTGATGCCCAGTCCCAAGTTTCTAGTTGTCAAGCTGATCAAGTTTAAACCATGCTGAAATCCTGACATGTAAACTATTTGTAGTTACATGTATATCTGCTTCCTAGTACTTTAAAGTTCAACTAAGTATGTTATTTTTTTTCACAGAATTGATGATACAGAATCTGATGAGGAAAGTAGTACAAACAATCAGACATCAGACTCTGAAGAATCAGAAATGGAAGAAGATGGTCTGAGGACGAATACCGATCAATCAAAAGTCATTGCACTGAATGGCAGTACTGAACACTTTACCCAGATTGATGCAAAACAACTTGAAAAACAATCTTCAAAAAGTTTTAGTTGGATGAAAAGATTTTTCAAAACATTACACAGTGAAAAAGAATAAAAGGAAATCCTTTTAGGTTGTGTTTTTTTTTTTTTGTGTATCATGAAACGACTTTGAAAAATAGCATGCGAGAGTTTGAAACTGATCTTGTACAAAAACAGCGTCTAACATAATTTTGGAAAACCATTGATGGTATCCATTGGTAAATAAGTGTATATGCATTAATGTGGCACTAAAACATTCTGTAAAACATTGATTAAAAAAACACTAATTTTTCTGATTTAGCAAAACTGTTCATGTACTATTATTACAATATTTCAGCAGTAAGTTTGAGATTTATTTCATGCAAACTTGCCAGCTAAATACATTCACAGACAATGGAAAATCAAAGAAAACTTGGAAATAACTCCTGTGTGCTGAGAGACTTGAAGGCACATGAAGTAAAATTAGGGAATATTTAAAATTGAATCAAAATATTAGAGACCTGGAGACTAAATATAAGTCTGCTATTTGAGATGAACAATGTAATCCCAAGTTTATAATGCGCACAGAAAATTAAAACAAAAATAATACATTGTACATAATTTGAGATTCCGGTATCAGAAATTGCCCAACTGTAATCAATATGAATTTTTTTTAACCGTAAAATAATCCACTTCACACGGGTGCATTTACATACGTAAGTTTCAAACCCTTGTATCTATCGTTTAGATATCTATGGAAAAGCTAAAAATAGGCTAATTTACGCAAAATAGACAATATACACAGATTTCAATCAAAAGCCATACAGTCTTGTGGGGCATCCAAGGTCAAAATTTCATTGAAATAAAGTAATTGTTAAGATGTCTGAAAAAGCTGAAATTGGCAAATTAGGTTACTTAGAAATCATGACTTCAATACAAAACTAAGTCTTTTGCACCGTTCACCAGAAACCTATGTACATAATTTCATTGAAATTCTATGATTATTGGCTCTTGGGATAATTATGCACTGATTTTAACCCCAAATTAGGTCTGCATTGTTCCTGGGCACCAATGTACAATGTTTCATTGAAATAAAAAGATTATATTTTATATAATGTATATTTTATATAATTATATTTTATATAATGTATAGATTTCACCCCAAAATTAGGTATCTATGCACAAAGTTTCATTGACATGGGATGATTGTTTCTTGATTTAATGGTGGAACAGTCGTGCATACATACATACAGACCCGGTTACCACTAGGACCATTGTTTGCTTCAGTCAGTAAGTGTACCATAGTGTATTACATTGATATTATTATACTATTTTAGATGAGAAATGAGTAGGATATCTGGGCAAGGAATGCCATAAATAAGTGTTCCGGACAAAGCTGAACAACTCTTATGAGTGTGCATGTTGAGTATTTGGGTATACCTAGAATTTATACAGCACTGGAATCTTCTTTTTATGTATACACACAACTTGTGAAGCGAAAATTATAAAGGAATGAACACTAATATCAGGAAATATTAATGCAACTGAAAGTATTATTATAGCATTCATCATTTTTATTTAGAATAATTTTCTAAAATACTTTATAATTGCACATAATTAAAATAAATTAATCTTCAAGGATTGATTAATATAATCAGAGTTTATTGCTGTTGTTCACCAGGATAAAAACGTTTTGACTACACACTTGAGGCTTCAGATTCTTGTATAGTATAGCTGTTACTTGTGGATGTACACTTGACACAGTGAAATAAATGACCTCGTATTTTATAAGAGTAGTATGCAAAGAAACCAGCACCAGTGCAGACAAATAAGAACGATAGGAGAACTAAAACACCATACGTGTGGGGGTTTGGAAATGTAATAACTAAAGCAAAATGCACTAAGTCCATGAAACCATTCAGGGAGTTTTGAACGCCATTGAAAATACCCCGCTGCGTCTCCAACACACTCTCTTGGATTAGTTGCGTTACCGTCAAGTCAAACAACCATAGTCCTAGAAAAAATAAATAATGATAGATTAGTTTTTGTTTATTCACTGAAATTATTTCGAATTGACATGCCCATATTAGTATGCCTCATTCAGTTACTAATAAAAGTTTTATAACATTATTAGTTGGTAATGCATACAACTACCGTACCTGGTATATCAGTGTATACATTGTCTGGAAGCTGGGATATAGGACAATTTGTGGATAAATGAAACTAGTGTGGAGTTGTTCATATTGAAAATAGTGCAGTGACACACCATCAGTTGAGAAACAGTTTTGAAGTCACAAGAAAATAAATGCAAATCTGCATGCAACATGTATGTTTTGTTCCAAAAGCAATTCTTAACATGTCTTAATGTTTTTGACGAAAAAAAAAACCCCAAAAAAAAACATTTATCATCATGAGCAAGAATCTAAATAGGAATTGTCATTGGTGTTCATGGCTCACCTGTTCTAGATAACACCATTCCAGTAAACAGCAGAGCTACTGATGCATAGGAATCAGGTTTATCACGGATATCTTGTGTTATATCTATCAGTTCACTTGTATTGGAAGCTAACAATGTAGTTGGCACTGTGGTACTGACGTTGGCAATAAAATCCTCGCCATTTTGGGGATGCAAGTCAAAAGGACTGCCAGGAGCCCATACAGAAATGACACAGAGCGACAGACATGAAATTTCCATGATCAGCGCCCATAATCCAGTTCGTTGCAGACCAATTTTTTCACGCAACCTTGGGAATAATGCTGTGCCCAACAGACCAAATACAGAGCCTAGGCCCATAAGTACACCTATCAACCACTCAGCTAGTCCCTGTGAGTAGGCGTAACCCGTGGAAATAGAATCAAATCCCAGCACAGTCATGTAAAGAAATGCTAACCCAACTCCTGCTGACCACACGGCGTAACTCATGTAAGTCTTCCACCCTTCACCTAGTGTGATACACAGTCCAAACGCTTTGAGAACTTTCTTCCAGTTTTCTTGTTTGATTTGTTCTGTATCCCTAATTGGTGCCACATTTGCCTCTTGTATATTTCCTTGAGTAGGCTGGTTACTGAGATCTTCACGAGAAACGTTGATTTCGGCATCACTGGGTTCACTATCTGAGCCAACGGAGAACATCATATCTCCAGGTGTGGTACTTGTGTTCTGATTAATATTTACTTTTTCATCAGCATGAACGGCCTCTTCTAAAATGAATAGAAATTAAATTGATGTCATATTGCAAATTCCCATATGTATTTTATAGCACGCTTGGGCTCAATCTAGTCATAAATTGGCAGCAAGGTTTAAGGTCTAGCTTGCATTTCTGCACCAAAACTGTCGTCCTCAAAATTTCTCAACTTATGGTAATAATATGAGACAATATTTAGGCAGATTGCTCATCACAATTTAGGCAACAGTATTTTTGAAAACAAGCTAAGCTAGTTTTAAACTACCGGGTACCTAAAACTACCAGAGACACTTAAAAGTCATGCTGAGGCTGTACTGTAAGGACATAATCCTACCATTCATAGCTGTTGGTTTCTTAATACGAAGTGCTGGCACTGCTTTATAGACTGTAGACATTAGATAATATTCTACGCACCCAGCAATAAGGTTCCATGCTGCTATCACGAGTGCACCAATCAGCATAGAGCCGTACGTCATTATAGAGCCGATAGCTATAGGTGCTACAATGTTAATCACAAGGTCAATTCGAAGCAACACGGCATTTAAATCTGAAAAACAAAAAAAGGATGGATATGTGTTGTATTTACAGTATTTGCTATTAAATGTACATTTATATGCAAGTATTACAACAGATTTAACAATCATACAGCACCAAGTAAAGTAGGGCAACCTGCACTAATCCCACGAAAAAAACCAGTCAGTACTGACACTCAGATCATCTATAATCTATTCACTCAGGCGAGGCCTTTAATCGTAATGATTGTCAATATACATTTATAGATAATTAACAAGACCATACAAGTTTCCAAAACAAATTTCAGTATAAATTATACGGAAAAGAATAATATATATACAGGGTTTGTACACCTGAGATGAAAATAAAGTCCATGACTATTTCATCTCAATTTTGGTCATTTTATCAGGGTTAAAACCGCTTTGTGACAGTACTGACAGTTCATTTTCTTGGAATCAAAGGCATTTTTCGCTAGACTTTTCAAAATATTTTTCAAAGTCCAAGACTATCCAATATATTACAGGACCTTCCATATCTTGTATATACAAGCAATGTGTCGGCAGATAAAAACACATTGTGCCCACCACTTGGATCTATGGTCAGTTGATTTACAAATAATAACATAATAAATGCAACAATTTACTGCAATTTTTTCGCATTTATTATATTATCAGGCTCAAAAAACTAAATTTTCTATTTTGAGAGAAATGAGCTTTGCTACCGGTATATACCGTATCCATTTTAATTAAGACTTTCAAACCCGATCAACATACCGGTAGTCACCGTTGGAATAGGGGGAAATGTTATTCATGCCAAAAATAAGGTAATATGTACCAAAAGCATAGTTAATTATTTAGAGTGAATAATTGGCTCCTTTACTATCAAAAGAAATTGGATGTATTAAGTGACTCTTCCAAAATCATAATATATGGTCAGAAATTAAACAGGATATGCTATTCATGCATTTTTTGTAACCAACCAGAATTTCATTTGTCCAGGCTTATGTACAGAGATACAAAACATGAAACAAATCACCATGGACATTATCTCTACATGTATAATGTTTGTATCAAATTTGAAAACCAACAAGCAGCCTGTCGGCTGAGATAGCTGCGCTGGTAGCAATCCACATTGCAATTAAAGAAAAGAAACTGTCATTAAAAAATGAACAATATGTATAGTATCAAAGCAATCTGACATGCTGTTTTCAACAAGAATTCAAAAATATCACTTTTCACCAAAAATTACAAAAATATTCATCAAAATTAGATAATTGAACATATCACTATGAAATGAACAAATCTGAGAGAGGTCCACATGTAGTATCTATATATGTAATATCAAAGCAATTGGACTTGTGGTTTTTTAAAAGAAGTCGAAAATATCACTCTTTACCAAAAATTACCAAAATATTCATCAAAATTAGAGAATTGAAGATATAATCATGAAATGAACAAAACTGAGAGAGCTCCACATGTAGTACCTATATGTATAATATCAAAGCAATTGGACTTGTGGTTTTTAACAAGAAGTCGAAAATATCACTTTTTACTAAAAATATTCACCAAAATTAGAGAATTGAAGATATCATCATGAAATAAAGTACATATTCACCAAGTTAGTATCAAAGCATTCAGGCTTGTAGTTTTCAAGAAGAAGTTGACAAAGTAAAACATTGACAGGGACGCCGGACATTCACTCATATGATTAGCTCCACTCGACAAAGTCGACAGCGGAGCTAAAAAATCAAGATGGATGGCAGTCGGCCATCTATGATGGAACAAACTGACATGACGTGTACTAATGTATGTATGATGTATGTGCCAAATATGAATGAAAATGGTTCATAAGCCTTGGAGATATAGTAGTATGGTCAAAAAGCATGATGGCCACCAATCAGCCATCTTTGATCTGATTGTAAAACAAATTGTCATGAATATGTAATCCAAAATGTACAATATATGTACCAAATTTGAACAAAAACTGACAAAGCATGCATAAGATAACACATTTTCAAAAAACTAAATGGCTGCCAGTTGGCCATCTTTGATCCGATTGCGAAACAAATCGTCATAGACATGTATCCTAACATGTAAAATATATGTACCAAATTTGAACAAAAACTGACAAAGCATGCATACGATACCACATTTAAAAAAAACAAAATGGCTGCCAGTTGGCCTTCTTGGATTGAATCAATAAACCATTGCATGTGCATATGGCACATGCAAAGAATGAACAGATTTGGTCCACAGAGTTCTGAAATATGACTCCGGACGGACAGACAGACAGGCGGACGGAGGGAAAGAGACTGAATTATAAGTTTTTGTTTCGAACAGGAACTAAAAAAATAACAAGAAAGTCAATTCAGGAATTGTACCATATACCGGTAAGTAATTATCCATTTTTAATATAGAAAACATAAATTAACTTCTGATAATTTTTTTGAATCCAATAGTTAAAATGGTTAAAAAAATAAATTCTATATAATTAGCTTCCTACATATGTACTCATAGTATGTCATATCTAGGAATTGCATATGTATAAATAGAATTCCTAAACTACAACAAATCCTTCCTTCCTGCCATGGTATGGTAGAGATAACGGATTCTATTTTCAGATACCGGTATGTTAAAATGGTCATAGCTCACAACTATAAACCATCCAAATGTACAATATATAAAATTCCAGTGTCAATGACACAATTTGACTCGTACACAGGCACCCACCCCCACCCTCAGGCAGGCTACCTGTGTTTTTGGCACATATGGTACAAACACAGAAATACATGCAGCCAAATGGTCATTAATCAAACACTGAATCAGTACAAATATTGATAACCAACCATGCATCAATGCTACGCTTTATGAGAACATCACGGGCATATCTAAGATGCAATCACTCACATGTTCAAATACATGGTGTTGTTAATTTCATAATTACAGTGGGTATAGTACTTTACCACATGTAAAATACTTTATTTTCACTTAGAATTAGTTTTCACTAAAGGAATGATTCAGTGAAAATAAATCTTTTTTTGCTATATTTTACACTCAGCTCATCAAAAATCAGTGAGAATTAATTCCAGCTAAAATAAAGTATTTTACAGTAATCACATGCACGCACACATGCACAGAGGTCAATTCAGCATTTCCAGACAAAATTTGGACCAGATACACCGCAGCAGTATCAGTAGTTTTCCCTAAGCTAATACATGTGTTCTCGCATAAAAATCCACCCACTTTGAACCCACCCAAGCCTGTGAAACTTAATACGAGTAATGGAAACAGACATAATACAATAGCTGAACATGCTAAAAACAGTTCTTACTTGCTAATTTAGATTTATTAGTACCAGCAACCACAACAACCCAATCTTTTTGAATCGATATCCTCTCAGCTTCACCTGCAAGGTTAGCGCAGTCACCAAGAACTATAATCATAATCTCCACCATAATGAAGAGAACGCCATTCCATATGAGTTTGATATTACCTTCCAGCACCAGTATCATTGCCAGTAGTAAGGAACACAATACAAGGCAACAGTTTTGAAGAAAAATGGCAATTCTGATAGCTGTAATATACCAAACAAAGAATTGGTGGTACAGTAAATATTAACTGTACTGTAAAGTACAGTAGATTACGGGGTACTGTAAAACATGTTGAAATACTTACATGTCATTTTAGCAAATTTGACTAAATACATGAATTAACAGAATCTTAATTTAGCTAAAGTGGCAAAAATCTACTTGTGAGAAAATACTTTATTTTAAATTAGCAAGATCTTGAATTAGCAAAATTATTGATTAGCTAAATTAGCTAAAATATCATGTCAGCGAAAGAGACATGTTTTGCAGCTAGCTGCATTCACCTGTATAAAGTGTTATTTAATTATGCTTTGGTTACAAATATGCAAATTTAGAATCAAGGAAACAAACTAAAAATACTTGTAATTACGAAAGATGTAAAGTATTTGCTGCCAATGAATTAAACAGCATAACAAGCTACGTTTTCTTGTATTTTTCGAAATTTATGTAATACTGAGTCAAAATTCTCTTCAAGGTACCAATTGAGATTCAAATAGTAATCATAAATAAATGACATACGAAATGACACATGTTACCCTGTGTTTTTATCGCACATTATTGATAATAAAATAGTAAAAAATGCAGCTTGTTTTCTCTTTTTTTAATAAATCCATTATTCTTCAGTACATAGTGTGTGGTGTCAGAGGCCAAAACAGCACATTCTAACATGACCGAGAACTGATTAATTTTATTTTCTACTCAAAGTTACATTTCAACATTGTTTACACAGGCTTTAATGTAATTATGAATTTAATACTAAAAAGTTTGAATTTGTTTGCAACCTGTATCTTTTTTTCTCAACTTGTATAGTTCTAACCATGTTGAGATCAATTTGGCAAAGTTCCCACTGCATTAGGACTCCAACACAGGTTTCTAGGTGTCTACATGTCTACTATTTTTAAGCTGTGAGATTTCACATTAAATATTACCTCTTATCCGTTTTGTTCTGTCCACCCAATCACCAACAAGAGGGGAAAACATTAATGATGATATGCATAGTATTAATCCATAGATGGCTGTTAATCTCAAGGAATCCATAGCGATTTCTACTAAGTATAGTCCTATGGCAAACCTCCACATACGGTATCCCTGGGAAAATACAAGTAATAATCACCATCTATTCTCAATATTTTATATACTTAACAAAGTTAATGTTTCCATTATTCCCAGTGTATGTGCCATGATTGAATTTGATTTTTGAAACTTTCAACTCAATACTGTTTATTCTTTTTTTAAAAAAAATAGACAAACCACTCTTTCACTGTTGTTTAAATGCAGGGGTATTTCTAGAAAAAAAAATGCAAGAGGGAGCACTGCAATTCAGCGGCACCACCAAGTGAGGGAGATGGAGTTCTCCCTACCAGGGTGTAAGAGTTTTTGATAATTCTAAGTTAAAATGGAGCATTCTATGGCTTCCTGGGAGCAAAAAATCAGACAGGTCACAATTGAAGACTGTGGCCACATGTGATCCCTGGTCAATCTAAAATTCATGGTTGCCAGAGGATCTGCTCCCCAGGGTAAGGGGGCCTCTGGCCATGGCATGAGGGCGCTGCAACCCTGTTTCCTTGTTTGAAACAAATATTAAACTGAAATGCATGAGTGAAATAG